AACTGGGGGGGGATAACAACTGGGGGGGGATGACACTAGTGGGCAATAAGGGGGCTGATGTTGCAATACCTTTCAGGTATCGGCTGGATCAGAAGGGCCTTCTCGTCTGGGTGCAGGTTGCTCAAGTGCCGTTCCATTCGGTCAATGTCTTCTCCCGCAAACCGTCCGTACGACTTCAACGCGCGACAAACCTCCTCAAAATGACGCGCCTCGGCCAGGGCCTCTTCATCGTTTGATTCCCGGCTGCGGGTGTCCTTGGGAATGTGGCGCAAGACTTCTTCGTCCGCTAGCTTGCCTTCCATCCCGATCCCTTTTTTAAAGACCCCTTTACACGGGTCTGGTGTTCACCTCCCCGTTAATGTTCACCTCCCCGTTAACACCCCCCCCTAAGGTCCCCCGCGGGTTAGAAGTTCCTAAACAGCATGTACACGTCGTGTCGAACGACGTATTGTTCGAAGAAAAGAAGACGGCAACTGGGCACGGCCGCTCCCCCTTGCGGTGACTGGGCACGACCCGAGTGACCGATCAATGTCTACCCAGGTAATTCCTGGCAAGACGGGCTTCACACATTGTTGGCACGCTTGGTCAGGTTGACACGCTTGGTCAGGTTGACACGCTTGGTCAGGTTGACACGCTTGGTCATCAAAGATACTGCTCATCAGACGCTTGGCCACAAGCGCTGAACGGTTGGACGAATATCAGACGCGCGAAAATCTTATCCAGCCTGTTATCAGCCATCAACCGTGAGGGAATCAGCCGTCAAGGCAACCAGTCGTCATCCAAAGCAGGGCAACCAGCTTGTGGTCAATTTGAGTCAATGTATTTGAGCCAGTGTGTTGGACTAGAGTGCTTTCTGTCGGATCCATTCGGGTAAGCACTTGATTCTGATCTCTGCTGTCATCTGCTTGAGTTCATGGGAGGAGAAGTCGAAGAGTGGTGGAATGGCTGCACCGCTGGGTAGTCTGAATGATTCTTTTCTGAGATCATCGAAGAAGGGGTGAGCGAGGGCTGCGTATGGGTCGATTCTTTTTTCGGGTTCGTATTTGAGCATTTCGGATAGTAGGTCATAAACCTCTTCAGGAATACGTCCATTTTGGGAAGGAATAACGCTCTTCCAACTTTTGGCAACGAAACTGGGGAAACTGAACTCGCCATATTGTGGGTTCATAGCTCGCGTCTGTTCCGGTGTAGGGGCTCCTAGGACCTGTATGATCTTGACCAATTGATTAACACTAGTGTCCCCCGCAAAGAGTGGACGACCAATGAGCATTTCGGCCAAAACGCAGCCTGTACTCCAAGTATCGATGGCACACGTATACTCGGTAGAACCTAACATCAACTCTGGAGCCCTGTAAAAACGGCTACAAATATAGGACACAGAAGTCTCGCCTACAAACTCAACCGTTAAGACATGGTCGGGGGTATGGATCTGGTCATGGGTATGGATCTGGTCATGGGTATGGATCTGGTCATGGGTATGGACCTGGTCATGGGTATGGATCTGGTCATGGGTATGGACCCGGTCAGGGGTATGGACCGGGTAGGAACGGAGCCGGGGGGTGGGGGCTCACCAGGATAGAGTCTTTTGGCGGAGCCGAAGTCGCAGAGTTTGACTACGTGGGTCTTGGAATCCACAAGAAGGTTTTGTGGTTTGATATCGCGATGACAGATGCCCAGACTGTGGAGGTAGCCCAGACTCCGGATCATCTGATAGCCGTATATTTGCACAAGGGGGATGGGTAAGTGTGTGTGCATTCGTGTGTATTCTTTGAGGGCGCGATACACCGTTTCGGGGACGTACTCCATCACCACGCTAAGGAAACGTTGGACACTTGTAGTACTTGTATCGTTAGGACCTTCAGTATAAAAGTAGTCCTTAAGGGAAACGATATTCGGATGTAGCAGCTGTTTCATCACATCTAATTCTCGATTTTTGTAGCGTGGATCTTGAAGAACCTTTTTGATCGCGACAGTCTCACCCGTCTCAATACATACTGCCTCCGAAACCACGCCAAATGAACCATTCCCAAGCTGACGACGAATCTCGTATGTGCGAGTTGTAGAACACACCCTCTCCATCGGTTTTTCGCACACCAGATCACACACTTCGCACGCTTTTCACCTGCATCCGCGTTCCACCTAACTGTCTCTGTTCAAGCCATCCAACCTGTCTGTCAACTCTAGCCACCAACATGCAAGTAGAGAAATGCAAAATCAATTATGCCGTTCCTTGCCCTCTCAATTGGACCTACATACCCGCGCGGAAAAGCTGCCAAACATCCGCAAGTCCAGATGGGACCATGTCACTACAGAACTTTATTAAGGAAGTTAGCGTGGAGAATTTCGACGATTTCTCAAAGGCCTACTTCGCACTATCATTTAATACTAGAGTAAGCTTACCTGAACGTCTTGATTAATGATTTTCCATCCCGAAATAGAATACTGGGTAGCCCGAATACTCGGTAGAGAATTCCACCCCACCCATATGGGCAGAGTACACTGCTCTTGAGGCGTTCTTTGTTAGTATCCCTGTGCCGGAGAGAACACACGATCGTGCCAATCATATAATGTCACCCAATGCCCTTATGGATTCACTCTTGATGCTTCCAAATGCGTTTCAATTCCACTAGTTTATACGGGAGTAAGAATTCACTCGCACACGTGTGTCATCCACACGCGCGTGTGTCATTCACTCGCACACGTGTGTCATCCACACGCGCGTGTGTCA